TTGCTTACATAGGTCGGGTTTCTCCCGCCGTATGTACGATGCTTCCATGTAACGTAAGGTCTGGGTTGTTCGTGCTCGAACAAGAACTCGAAAAGATGTGTTGTTGTCAATGGAGTGACCACTGTCTAGCAAACGTTTTGTAATGGATGACCGTGGCACTTTGTTTTCTTGTTTTAAAAGCCAAGCAGGCAAATTTTTAGCAGCCCTGGCCGCCAATTGCCCTTGCGTACAGCCAATGTACTAGCATCCGCAAGTGCAGGTGAATTCATAGACGCACTTTGAGGTGGCGTGCAAAGCAAGGCTTCCTTTGACCGGTTAACTAAGAGGCTTTTAGTTGGAATGAGGAAAACAAGTTCAGCCGCATAGTACGTTCTCTGTATGGAACAACGTAGTTTTCGCTTAATTGTATTCGAGATGTTGTCTCCCTTAAAGGGTAAGGACATAAAAACGGGCATTCTCGGAATCGACTAGTCCGTAGATTTTGGCCGTAAAGTGCTGCTGTATTTTTGAATGCAACGTAGGTGGTAGCCACGCTTAAGTAAGGCCTCTTTTATGCAGGAAATAAGTTTATATTGTCCAGGCACCTGTGCAGAAACCGGATCTTCGAATAGGTTGAGACCTCACGAAGGGTAAACGTTTCCCATCGTCGGGCCGATCGAAGCCCATCGCGCCCAAATAATTTCCTAATACAAGCGAACATGTGAGATCTGCTATCTGCTGTTGCTCTCTGACTATGTCTCTGATTACGAATCCGCGACGGATATCGAAACTTCAGGCGAATAAAATTATTGTTCCAGCGATCAAATCGTCTTCTTCTCAATAAGTTTATAATAATAACATATAATAATAGAATATAATAATAATATGGAAATCGATTTCATGGGTCGGTTCCTACAACGCGGGCATCTTACCATGGGCTCAAACTTTAAGGAACGTATTGTTGATATTTTCGTCTCCTCTATTCACTATAGGCTAACTTATTTGCCTTGTGCATGTTGTCGGTTGTTATTGGTGAGGGAGGCATGCATACAAGTCTGCTCAAACATAAATCCTCCGGTTTTCTGATTTATTGTCCTGTTAATTACCATATTTTCTGGACTATAAGGCGCACGTAAAAGCTTTTAATTTTCTCAAAAAACGACCTATATGTACGTAGATTAATTCTGGTTACTGACCTTGAAGTGCTTTTGTGTGGTGCACTGCGTTGAGTTATTCCGTATTCTCGTTTTTGAGACAAGTAAAGGCTTTCAAGTGCGCCATGTAGTCCGGAAAATACGGTACAAATGAGGAGAGACGCCGCTGGTGTCATAACAATTTCCATGTTCTTCGTCAGTTGCCTTCTGATCTTTCTGCTTGAAAATAAGGGCAAACTGGAGGAATTGCCTGCTTGCACCATCAACAATAGTGTTTATGTTATTCCTCTGAACACTTTTGTTATGCCAACTAGTGTTACAAAATCAAAAACAACAAAAGGCGGTTAATTTAATATGAACAAATGATGATCCTATGAATTCTTTTTGGAAAGTCTGCGAGCTTGTATTTAAATTAAAACAGATCCGCTTCGCCTATCTCCCCCTGGACGCCGCAGGCTGCCTACAATTCAAACAATTTACTGGAAAATTAACAAATCCTTGCTGCTGTAATGATACATTTAACATGCGTTCATCAAGACATTGTTCGCATGAACTTTCGACCAAAAAGACCAGGTTTTATGACAGTTTTCAAAATTTCCGGGCTTTTACAGTTCAAGACCTAGAAACAATTTAAGCTATTGATCGGGCATTTTAACTGACTTAAACTGGCCACTCCCAGGTGGCGACCAATCAATAAACTGCACATTCGCTGTCTCTCAGTGGCTTAGGCATGGGCTCAATGCTGATTGTCTATTGGCTCCACATACAGACCTGAGCACGACCCAAAATATTCCTCCCCTCACCGCTTCAGCCCACGGGAAGCGCCCACCCGGCTGTAGACACTTCAGTATCTGTCAAGTTGGCTACCTCTATGACCGTGCTTTTTGGCCTACTTCTTCTGTCCGGCATTTCGGCCGCACTCACCGCCAGCAGGCACATAATTACGAGTGCCCAACCCCCTGTGCGTGACCCCAACAGAGAGGAAGTTAACGCACCGCCAAGGTATGCTCAACCAGGCACAGATAATTGTCATCCAGTCGTGGAAGGCAGCGCTCAGGTCCCGGGGAAACTCATCAACTACGCGAGTGCAGCAGGCGGTAGAAATCTAAACCATGATTACCCTGGTCTACCTGAGGCCGGTAAGTCTTTTGATTTAATAGGTGTAAAAAGCGTAAGTTTATGCACTGAGTTTTAAGTTTGCATATGGCAGTTAGAATTGATTATCTAAGTTCCGTAAATATTCCCATGGTTAATTTGAGAAGTCAGTTTCTGGCAAACATACGTTTTCAGCAAATCATCATCAGGCCAAACATTTTCAGGGGAAAATGAAAGCTGTACAGGACAACTAAAGTTCGAATACGTAGAAAAATCAATAACTGTCTAGCATGAGCGCTGATTGGCCACTGCGGACTATGTCAGTTTGCGCAACTAGGCGAGATCAGCGTGTTGGTTGAGTGACTGCCGCTAGTTGGTAGGGGCGAAATGCTATCGCCACCTGGCGTCGGTGTAGGCCAGTGGCCAATCAGCGCCCATGTTAGACAGGTATTGTTTTTTCTACATATTCAAACTCTAATTGTCCTGTACAGCTTTCATTTTCCCCTGCAAATGTTTGGCCTGATGAGGAATTGAATATCGCGACAATTGTTAGCACAATAGACTTCTATAAAACCGGTAATCAGTTCTGCGATGGCAGCCACGTAACCATTTTTGGAGGTGGCCGGAATACTCTAATTCAAAATCCAACGTTTAAATGCGGCTGAGCTGCCCTGAGCTTATGTTGCATGATAAGCAACGCTATAAGGTCACCTAAACAAGCATTTCTGACGAAGAGTATACGTTAAAATTTCAATTTATGTTTACTTAGGTACATCAGCTACACCTTGTTTATGTATGGCCCTAAACAAGGCCTTGCGCAAGCACAATGTGGGATTTCTAAAGTTACACTGGCCTTTGCAACTGTTCCGAAACTTTGTGTGAATGCAGTACGTACTATCAGTTCCGCAATAATGCGAATACCGTAGTAGACATCCACATACGACGGCCTGCACTACTGTGATTTCGTTTGCCTAGAGCATCTTATCCGTGAAAACATTACCGACGAGGACCAGCGAGTTCACAGCCATTTCTGGCTTATGTCGCAGTCACTGTAACCACAAATCCTAAGAGGGTTCCGTCTAATGGCAGTCAACTTTTGGGAGCAATTTACTGGTTACACAAGGTAGGTTGTCGTGGGTTGGCTGTTTGTTGGTGTTTGTGAACAATGCGACCGTACGGGATGTGTGGGCAGCAAAGAGTTGCGTACGGAATTGTCATTGTTCGTGTCAGAATGTGATTGGTTAGGTCAAAGTCACAGTCTGGAGCGCGTAGTCAGAAGGGACCATGGGTGACAAGGCACGCTGGCCGATGCGCGTAAGATATGTTTGCCTACAGGCGTGACCTTGAATAAGCTGAGGTCAACTCTGGGGCCTGTCGTGCTTTGTTGGAGCGTCTGTTACAGTAGTCGCCGGTTATTAAGCCCACGGTTAATAGCCCAGCCGCGTATTAAGCCCAAATCAGCTTGGGACGGAATTATACATAACAAAATCCGACGGCTAATAAGCCCAGTCGCCGGCTACAAAGCCCAGTTTGCC